AATATGATGAATATATAACAAAGTTTTTCACATAGATTGTGCCATTAATTCCCAAAACTAACTGACGAGAAATTCTTGCATACGTTTATAAAAATGTGTAAATAACATCTCTCGCATTAACCTATCTTCCGACTAGCACGTCAGAAAGTTTCCATGAGAGCAAAATTGCGTACATGCACTCGTCGAATGCAATAATGCATCCTAACCAGTAGCCAACTAAAAAACTATCGATTTTTTTCTAAGAGGAGAAAAGCAACATTTTCAACCCTAAATTATATCTAAATTAAAGAGAGAATAAAGTAAGAGAATAATGAACAAAAGCATCTTTGTGTGCAAGGTGATCTTCCTTAAGCTTTCTTTCTGCAAACTGCTTTTGCTTTTCTTTTAAGCTCACCACACTCCTTTAAGCTCTCTCTTTAATCATCTGTATCTGTTTTGCTTTGCATACATTAGCTTTGCAGCAGAAAGAAGAGAACTGCACAAATAGTCCAACTGATGTACTTCAAGCAAAATTACAAGATAGCACTGGTCATGCATGCTGGATTCTTCAAAACAACCAAGGTAGGGTGAAGGGTAATTTGGGCTGTTCATCATGAAGTTTGACAATTTAAATAAAAAAAGGGGGGAGAATATAGGAAAGAGAAAGTTGCACTAAAATCACAATGTTTTGAAACTTTGGAGTCCAAAAGACCACCTTTGTCCTCACAAGTGGGGCATCTTTTTATCTCTTTCCAGAAATATAGAACAACTAATTAATCAACTCTATTTGTTTTCTTTACAGTTTTTTTAGCAGTGGCATGATTTGGTCCATTACAAAATTTAAGCATACAAATAGTAAAGAGGATCGCTATTCAGACTCTTTCAAAAGCAAGTATAATGAGACTTATTAACCCATATAGTGATTGCCTAAATATTTAAGTTGCAGCTTGGGCTCGTTATAGCACAATATGATAATAAAGAAGAAATATTAAAATCGGATGTTAGTATGCCTCGCTTGAATTTGCTTTTAAGAGGTTTGGATGGTGGTCTAGATAGTAAATACCTTCACTATCACACTTCCTCCATGCCATAGTCATTTTCAATCAATACTTTGATTATTCTTTATCCAATCAAAGCTAACAGAATTCCTTTTTGGTTTACATGACAGCAACCAAAAAGGCAATTCCAAATTGGTAGTGGAGGTGGCAGATGCCCTAAAAGTTAGAACACAAGAAAATGCAGGATTCTGACTTGCTTGTAGAAGGTGACTCTTAATACCACAGAAGCAGAATTCAAGAGTACAGTACCTTAAGCATCTGTAAAGCCGGGAACAGCTCAAATTCGCGGTCGCAAATTTTACTCTAAGACAAGAATCATCGGCTAGAACATACAAATCTAACCGAGAAGGTAAGGATTATCAAAAGAGAAACCCTTGGGATTCAAGGTTTTCTTGTGTGCTAAGGTAAGAGGAACCTGAAATCTATATCTGAAATAGAGCTAATCTTCTGCAGATATTTTCTATAATTATTACTGATGTGTAACCGTATATGTGTTTTTCAGGTACTAGAGAAGCATACAAAGTTGCACCAATGAAGTCACAAGCAGCACCTAACCAAGAGGACTACAAGTTGAAGGACACGAAGCCCCAGCTCGGGGAACGATGGCCACATGGAGGACTTCGCGGTGGAGGAGGGTGGATAAGCAGCGATAGAGCTACGAGCACTTACGATCTCGTTGAGCAGATGTTTTATCTATATGTAAGAGTTGAGAAAGCCAAAGATCTTCCGACAAACCCCGTGACGGGAAGCTGTGATCCATATGTACAAGTGAAGCTGGGAAATTACAAGGGCAAAACAAAGCACTTTGAGAAGAAGACAAACCCTGAATGGAAGGAAGTTTTTGCATTTGCAAAGGAGAAGATTCAGTCTTCGGTACTCGAAGTTTATGTCAAGGATAAAGGGATGGTGGCAAGAGATGACTATGTTGGGAAGGTGGTGTTTGACATGCATGAGGTGCCGACTAGAGTTCCACCAGATAGCCCTTTGGCACCTCAATGGTACAGATTAGAAGACCGGCGGAGAGATACTAAGGTTAGAGGAGAGGTGATGCTTGCAGTTTGGATGGGTACACAGGCTGATGAAGCTTTCCCAGAAGCCTGGCACTCAGACGCTGCTTCAGTTCACGGAGAGGGAGTTTTCAGCATTCGCTCCAAGGTTTATGTCTCGCCGAAGCTGTGGTACCTTAGAGTTAATGTAATCGAAGCTCAGGATGTGGAGCCACACGATAGAAGCCAACCACCACAAGCTTTCGTCAAGGCTCATGTCGGAAATCAAACACTTAAAACAAAGGTATCTCCAACCAGGACAGCGAATCCCATGTGGAACGAAGACTTGGTCTTCGTAGCAGCTGAGCCTTTTGAAGAACAGCTTGTGCTTACAGTTGAAAATAAAGTGAGTGCTGCAAAAGATGAACATGTGGGAAAAATAAACCTGCCGCTGACAATCTTTGAGAGGCGGTTGGATCACAGGCCAGTCCATTCACGTTGGTTCAACCTCGAAAAATTGGTTTTGGTGCTTTGGAGGGAGACAAGAGGCACGACCACAAGTTTTCGACCAGAGTCCATCTCAGAGTCTGTCTTGAGGGTGCTTACCATGTACTAGATGAATCAACCTTGTACATAAGCGACGTGAGGCCTACTGCCAGGCAGCTATGGAAGCATCCAATTGGGATTCTTGAAGTAGGGATCTTAAGCGCGCAAGGACTTCTTCCAATGAAGAACAAGGATGACAAAGCAACAACAGATGCCTACTGCGTAGCCAAGTACGGGCAGAAATGGGTGAGGACCAGAACAATCATCGAAAGCTTCAGTCCCAAGTGGAATGAACAATATACATGGGAGGTCTACGACCCTTGCACGGTGATCACACTGGGAGTTTTCGACAACTGCCACCTCGGTGGAAATGAGAAACCAATTTCAGGCAGTGGAGCTAAAAATGACTCGAGAATTGGCAAGGTGAGAATTCGGCTATCAACCCTAGAAATGGATCGGATTTATACAAACTCTTATCCGCTTCTAGTCCTACAACCATCCGGATTGAAAAAAATGGGAGAGCTCCAATTAGCAGTAAGATTTACATGTCTTTCACTAACTAATATAATTTACCTCTACGGCCACCCCTTGCTGCCAAAAATGCATTATCTGCATCCATTCACTGTAAATCAGTTGGATAGTTTGAGATATCAGGCAATGAACATTGTAGCCGTGAGACTTGGCAGAGCTGAACCACCACTAAGGAAAGAGGTTGTTGAGTACATGCTAGATGTAGACTCCCACGTGTGGAGCATGAGAAGAAGTAAGGCTAACTTTTTTAGAATTGTCTCACTATTCTCCGGCCTCATCTCCATGAGCAGGTGGCTTGGTGAAGTTCGTCATTGGAAAAACCCGATCACTACTGTTTTAGTCCATTTCCTGTTTTTCCTACTGATCTGCTACCCTGAATTGATTCTGCCAACTATCTTTCTCTACATGTTTCTCATCGGATTATGGAACTTCCGCTTCCGTCCAAGGCTTCCGCCTCACATGGACACTAAACTTTCATGGGCAGAGGCAGTTCACCCGGATGAATTGGATGAAGAGTTTGACACCTTCCCTACGTCTAAGGGTCAAGATGTCGTGAGGATGAGGTACGACAGACTAAGAAGTGTGGCTGGAAGAATTCAGACAGTGGTTGGAGACATTGCAACTCAGGGAGAGAGATTTCAGGCGGTCCTTAGCTGGAGAGACCCAAGAGCAAGCAGCCTGTTTGTATTTTTGTGTCTAATTGCCGCTGTGGTGCTCTACGTGACACCATTCAAGATGATTGCTCTGGCTGCAGGCATTGTTTGGCTAAGGCATCCTAGATTCCGAAGCAAGCTACCTTCGATTCCAAGCAATTTCTTCAGAAGATTGCCATCTCGTGCAGATAGCATGCTCTGAAAATCACAAGGAGGTAGACGAGGAAATACTATCTAACTAGCATGGATCTTCTAGTATTTGCTAATTGATGGTTGTTCTGTTGAAAAAGAAGTTTCTTGGAAGCAAGGCAATAAATTTTTATCCTGCACTGTTGTATTGCGGGTTTATGAATAATATGAACACGCAAATAGCGTAGTAAATTTGGTTGTGTTTGGGAACTTATGTACATTTATTCGGTTGACTCCCATCTCAATCTATCCTCGAGTCAGAGAGTTGATGAGAAACAGGTGAGGAATTGATCCTTCAATTGTTAGCTATCAGAGGGGAGGGAAATTGGTAAGAATCGGACGCTGCATCAGGATGCATAGACATAATTGTTTTCCGTTACTACAATAAAGTACTATCCCGTCCCAGACATAAATTGACATTAAAACTTTAAAGCGATGTCACCCATAACTTAACTAATCAATTCATTTTTTCCTCCAAAAACGTTTGATGTGATTTTCACGTCACCTTTTCTAAAGATACTATCTTGACGTAAGTTCATGTGCAATTACGTTGTCCTTTTGGGTAGCTTCAATGCCACTCAAATTTTGGAAGCACCCCTAGATTTTTAATATGAAGTATCGGTTTTCTTTAACACGAAATCGCTATTGAAGCCAACAAAGTATGCGACAGCATCATCAAACTGAAATTATGTAACGTTTTAGTAGTCAACAACCAAAATATTAGACTTGCAGCTAAATACTAGAAACCATGAATTTTATTTATCCAAATCTTGTAATTTTTTACAAAAGCTTCATTTATGCTTGATAGTATAAAACAATTTTTTGATTCGTCTACGGTATTCAGTAGTAACAAACTGAAATGTCAATTGTTGTAAAAAATTTGTTCCCCCAAGAATCTAGATTTTTAGATCCCCACGAGCGTAACAATATTTTACACTAAATTCAATTAAAAACAGAAATAAAAGGCAACAGCAAACGGCCATTAAAAATTTTCAAAAATCACCACCCGCTTAGCTTTTGAATTGAAGTTAACGGCTATAAACTAATACGCGGAGTCTCAAATCTAAACCCGCCCTTTATTTGCTTCATTAATTCGTCATCTACCTCTCATTCACTCTCGGATGACAAATCTCCTCTCTCTCCCTCTCTCGCTCTCTCTCTCTCTCTCTCATCAAATTTCAAGTTTCAAGCGATCGATCAATGGCGTTTCAGCGTTCCTCGTTCTCATTCCGAACATCGGACTTCTGGGTCTCTGTGAAGCTGCAGGGATTCCACGCCCGCCGGACCCTAAGTCCCAATTCGTCGGCGAGCTTTCTCTCCGTCAGGACCAGATTCATCAAAAGCGCTTCCATACCCATGTTCTGGATGAATTCCCACTCGGTCCCGACCGGTACGCCACGCTTCGTTTTTCTCCCCGCCAACTCGTACACTCAGAATTGCACGCCCACTTACGCTCTCTCTCCTCTTCCCTCAGCCTCGATCCTTCCATCTACGAGCGTTAGCACCCTATATCAAATCTATGGCCTTGAAACTTGCAAATCGTAATGGCTCGCTGGGATTCATCATGGCGGCTCAACTTGAAATCCTGTCTATTGATTATGTCGACGACCTGTTCGATGATTTGTCTGACTCAATGGGTTTACTTGCAATTGGTAGTAGCAATGGAGGTTTGACCTCATCATCGTTCTCATTGGATTTTGTGGTTGAGAAATTGGGGGCGGAGAGAATTTTTGAAAGGGGTGATGGCGACTTGGGTACTTAGTATATGTTTGGAGGAACTGTCGGACGGGAAAGTGAGTGAGCTCATTCGGATGCCGTGCTCTCACGTCTATCACCCATCTTGCATCCTTCGCTGGTTCAACATGGAGAAGAAGACGTGCCCCAACTGCCGATGTCAATTCCATGCCCAGTGAGTGACCCAGTTTTGCAGCCGCTTTGTCAAATCCAAGTTTGTGGTTATTAGTAGTGCAGTTACTCATCAATTCTTTAGTACTCATTGATTCTTTTTTTATAAGTTTCTTTATGTGTTCTCAACTTTGTAAATCCTTTGTACAACAAAAAATCGTAGAAATTTAAATAGTTGTCCGTCTGTGCTTACAATTTACATAGAGACCGGTTTTCATTTACTATTTATTTGTTACGATAGGTGTCTGTTTGTTTTAGCTTTATCTCTGCTCCTGTTTTCCTTGTGGATTTCTAATCCATGCTGTTATACAATTTCTTTTTCTTGAGTAAAGATTTCATTTTTCCTTTGTTTTCAGAAAGAAGGGGGAAAAGGTTTTTTTGGTTTTCTTATAAAAACTGAAGAAGTAGAAACTGTGCACTTATGAAAAGGAGGAGGAATGCAATATACATGATTTAATCTTGATCGTTTGTCATGATATATTATTATATTGATATGTTTATGTATGAATACTCTTTTCGATTAAATACGTTAAACATTTTAGCTGACTTCTGGTGGACTCCGAATGTGTTTTTAGGAGTACCTTTTTAGTTGATTAATCTTATTCTCTAGTCGTATATGAATATATTATTGCAATAGATCTTCGGCCACTTTGAACGCTGAGCTGGAACTAGCATTGCTAAATCAATTTCAATTGGTCTGACCAACTAAAATATGTACTCAGAGATCTTCCAGTAGAAAGAAAGCATGATACCATGGCTGGTTCTGGTTTTGAAAAAGCGGAGGACTGAAAGAAGACTTATTAAAGGTAAGGAAATTGTTACCTGATTTGCGGTCAAAGCAGCTTCTTGTAATTATTACTTTTTGTTTCCTTTGTAGTTTTCTCCTGGAAATTTGATCTCATAAAGAATACTTTAGTAAAGTTTCATTTCTTCCTGAAGCATAGAGAAGAACATCCTTCAGATGTTGGGTTTCGACTTACGTCATGGATCTTAGGTCTTTGTGTTCTATCTGTTTCGTCATTATCATGACAGCAAAGATGTTCTTCCTTGTACAAGATCCCTCATTGATACTCAAGCTTCTTCTGGTGAGGAAACTTCTACAGTCTGCTGCTTTGGTTAGATGTCACTTCTTAAATGCCTTCAACCACACATGAATGTTGAACATATTTTGTATTCGGAAGATATCAACGCCATATGGTTCCCCATCGAATATGGTGTTTTCCATGTTTTTTCGTATGTTTGTGGTGCTTTGATACTATTACCAATTCACATGTTCTCTTTGACAGATTCTCAAAAAATTTCCTTTGTTGAGAGACAATAATGTCATTACTTCCTATGCTGCTAAGCTACCGCCTATCAGTATTAGCTCTCCCCTAAGACCATCTCCAACTCTGACCTAAAACCCAAAAATATTTAGCCCAGAAAATTTAGGTTTAGCCCAGAAACAGTTTTTCTACTCCAACCCTTTTGGCCTAAAATTTTAGCCTTAGATTATCAAAAAATGAATTAAGGCTAATTTTTTTTTAAAAAATAACTTTTTTTTGAAAAAAAAATTATGTAGACTATCCTAAACTAATTTTATGAACATTTTAACCTAAAAATATTTAAATTTCGATAAATTTTGAAAAATCACTAAATCAATACATGAAAATCATGATAAACCACATAAACTTAAAAAAAAAAAAAAAAGACAATTAATAAATCTCATAAACTTAATACATTCGAAAACTCATAGACTAAATAAACTTAATACAATCGAAAAGATAATTAATATCCATCATCTTGACTTGGTGGTGGACTTGGGTGATAGTCTTGAGATGAATCATCATCTTGAAATATACTCCTTTTGGCATTCCTTCGTAAAATTTCTTTTTGCTTACCACGTAAGTATCTCTTTCTCTCTGGAGTGTATTTGTCGAGGTCCTCCATTATCAAATTAGTTTCGTACCTTTCTTGCTCCCTATCCCCTTCTTGCTTCATGGCCAAAAACATTTGGGCCGATTCTTCTTGCCGACGACGCTGCCATTTCGCTAGCAAATTGTGCACATATCGGATCTTGGGACTTCTCTTTTCTCTTTGCTTCCTTTTGCTTATCTCTACCTGAGGGCCTTGGCAAAGAAGAAGTTGGGCTCATTTGGTCGATATCTTCATTGTCGGCAAAATTCACACTTTCATTGACATCATTTGGGGGTAGGGTTTCATTATGAAATAATCTTTCACATTGTTGACTCGCACCGGTTCCTCACCCCGGACAATCCTTGAGGATGTTCCAAGCATGATGCAACTTAAAAGCTTAATTTTTTGGTGTAGTTCTTGTCTTGTAAATTGCCCTTGCTTTGTCACCTTATGCAACAAATACATAAAAACAATTAGTTGCAAAATACTATTATGTACATGACAAGTAAAATATCAACAAAGAAACTCACAATTTCTGAGGCGCCCCTTCCACTAGGCATGTCAACCATGGCTTTCTCCAAGTTTCCCTTCCACAAAGTGCACGCTTTGTTGATAATCTTCCACCAATCATAAACACCACCAACTTCCCTTCGACCAGCGTTGGAGTTTTCATGGAACTTATCAACGATCTTACCCCACAAATCCTTTCTATTTTGATTGGTGTCGACGGTACCATCTTCACTAACAGAAATCCTTGCTAAACATAAAGCAATATCTTCATCAAAGGTCCAATTACGACATCTAACATGCTCTTTTGCCATCTTGAAAATTTTGGAAATGATAAGAAATGGTAGAAAGAAAAATTGGAAGAATTGTAGGAGAAAGGTGAGTTTTGTGTGGATGTTTGAACAAATACATAGGTATTTATAGAGTTTTTGGTTGAATTTTAAGTTAAATAATTTTTTTTAATTATTTTAGCCGTTGGATTTAAATTTGGACCGTTAAATCTTGTCTGTAGCATCTTTCGTCTTGTACCATTGGATTTTTTACCGTTAGATTTGATTATATTCGATCTAAGCCGTTTGATTCAATATATATACATAAAAAACTAAAAAAAAAAAATTTGAACTTGGATGATATAAAGTAGCCAACAGCTATTTTTTGCATTGGGCTTATGATATAAAATAGCCAACAGCTACTTTTTGCATTGAAAGCTGGGGGAACACCCCCACGTGGGGTTGCTTTTCTTTAGCAGAAATGTGGAGCCCATTTTACTTTGTGGCATAAAATGTGACCGGAATTTGGCCCCCATTTGGGTTTTAGGTTTTAGGTTTATTTTAGGTCATGGGTTGGAGTGGGTTTTGGGGGGGGGGGAAATGGGGAATTTTAGGTTATAAGTCATGGTTGGAGTTGGTCTAAGAGAAACCAACTTCTGTCAGCAAAGCTAAAAATGACTCGCGAATTGGCAACGTAAGGCCATCTCCAACCGAAGGGTCCAGAGGGTCAGAGGGCCGAAAATAGCCAGAAAACCGTCTCAAACCGAGAGCTAGGCCAGAGGGCTTTGGAATCTGGGAGGGCCCCACGGAATCGGAGAGGGCTAGAGGGCTATTTTTTTTTTAATGTTTTGTTATTTCTGTAGGAACCGACAGAAATACATGCTATTATTTAATATAAATGTATTATTGTCGGTTATAACCGACAAAAATAAAATTTATACTAAATAATAGCATGTATTCCTGTCAATTATAACCGACAGGATTTCTTAAGAAAAAATTCAAATGCAACGACTAGTAGCCGTTGCATGTGTTTTGTTTTTTTTTTTTTTACAGTTTTATTATTATTTTTTATTTACAAAATTTTTCATATAACTTCTATTTCACAAAATTTATTTCTTTTTTTTTTAAATTCCATTTTTTCCTATAACTTCTATTTCACAAAATTTGTTTCATATTTTTTTTAAATTCCATTTTTTTCCTATAACTTTTATTTCACATAATTTGTTTCAAATTTTTTTTTAAATTCTATTTTTTTCCTATAACTTCCTAAGCCATTATACAACATTAAATTAAATTAAGTAACATGAAACAACATTAAACAATATGAAACAATATTAAATAACATTAACCAACATAAAAATTATACAACATGAAACTTAAACAACATTTTAAAAAACATTTAAGTTGTAGTTTTTAAATAATAAATTATGTTTGGCCCTATGACCCTTTGGCCCTCAGTTGGAGATGATTTTTTGTGATAGGGCTAAAACGAGCCCTCTGGCCCTCGGTTGGAGACGGATGTAAATATGGCCATGTGCTGTTCATTAAAATATTAATATCTTGGAGGGCCATATTTGCCTCCGTCTCCAACTGAGAGCCAGAGGGCCAAAGGGCTCGTTTTAGCCCTGTCACAAAAAACTATCTCCAACCGAGGGCCAAAGGGCCATAAGGTCAAACATAATTTATTATTTAAATTATTGAAAAAATATTGAAGGAAATTATTGAAAAATTGAAAGAAATATTGCAAATGAAGGAAATATTGAAAAATATATTGAAGGAAATATTGCAGATGAAGTGAAGAATTGAAAGAGCTTCACCATATTTATAGAAGTAAAAAAAGGTTTAAATTAAAAAAAATTTTTTGAATACAACGGCTAGCAGTCAGCTAGCCGTTGTTTTCAAATTTTTTCAAACTATATGTGTCGGTTATAACTGACACTAATACTAATTAATAAATATCCCAGTTGTCATTAGCCTTAATTCATTATATTCTATACTAGTCCTGTCGATTTTAACCGACAGGAAATCCAACACTTCAAAAAAAAAATTGGCCAGCCCAGGGCTGGCTGGCTGGCTAGAAGTGGCCAGCCCTCCCCGATTCTGTGGGGACCTCCCAAATTCTAGAACCCTCTGCCCTAGCCCTCGGTTGGAGATGGTTTTCGGGCTATTTTCAGCCCTCTGGCCCTCTGGACCCTTTGGTTGGAGATGGCCTAAGGTCATCTCTAACCGAGGGCTGGCCAGATGGCTCGTTTTAGCCCTTTGGCTCTCCAAGATTCCGCAAGATATTAATATTTTAATGAACAGTACAGGGCCGTATTTGCCTCCGTCTCCAACCAAAGGCCAAAGGGCCAGAGGGCTCATTTTAGCCCTGTCACAAAAAACCGTCTCCAACCGAGGGCCAAACATAATTTATTATTTAAAAACTACAATTTAAATTCAAATCCAACGGCTAAGTGACCTCAACATGACGTAGGCTTTTAAGTTTTATGTTGTTAAATGTTTTTAAAAATGTTGTTTAAGTTTCATGTTGTTAAATGTTTTTTTATGTTGTATAATTTGTATGTTGGTTAATGTTATTTAATGTTGTTTCATATTTTTTAATGTTGTTTCATGTTACTTAATTTAATTTAATGTTGTATAAATGGCCTAGGAAGTTATAGGAAAAAAAATAGAAGTTATATGAAAAAAAAAATATGAATCAAATTTTGTAAAATAGAAGTTATAGAAAGAAAAAAATAGAATTAAAAAAAATTGAAACAAATTTTGTAAAATAGAATTGAAAAAAAATATGAAACAAAATTTGATTCATATCAAAAGGGGGAAATGGGAAAAAAAAGGAAAAAAAGAAGTTTAAATTCCTATAAAAAAAATTAATACAATGGCTACTAGCTGTTATATTAAAAAAAATTCAAACTGTTAGTGTCGGTTAACCGACACTAATAGTAACTAAAAAAAAATTTGCCTGAATAACTATTACTGTCGGTTATAACCGACAGCAATGAGAAAACTATAAAAAAAAAATAGCTAGCCCAGGGCTGGTTGGCTGGCTGGCTAAAAGCAACCAGCCCTTTGGCCCTTTGAAATTCCGTGGGGCCCTCCCAGATTCTCGAGCCCTCTGGCCTAACCCTCGGTTGGAGACGATTTTAGGGCTATTTTCAGCCATCTGACCCTCTAGACCATTCGGTTAGAGATGGCCTAAGAATCCGCTTATCAACCCTGGAAATGGATCGCCTTTATTAAATGCAGATATGTGTAAAATACATTCAATAAAATATCTGACTATCATACAGTAATAGTACCAAGTACTAATACTGTAACCAGCCCCCGAAAAGTGAACTACTAACCAAATTTCCTAATTTAAGTAGGGCCATCACATCTGTCTAACTTTTTAAAGGTTTCCGAGTGTTTGGGGGCATGATACACATTGTCTATGGCCATATGGATGAACCCTGTTAATCTTTCATGCCCAAGATGCAGAGTAAGGCGAGTGTTTTTAAGCTATATTAAAATAAGATATTTTATTTACAAGTGAAGAAAAATATCATTAGATTGTAGTACAAAGTGGCAGGTGTTTATTATTAATTATATTGTTATCATCATCAGGATTGAACCCCTTTTATCCTTCA